GGGGAACACACTGTCGGGCTGGAAAATGGGGAGGGGGGTTCCCAAAACCTCTCCTTCCTTCCCTCTTGTCCCCCGGGAGCGAAGGGAACTTCCTCTTCCGACCGTAAAGCAGAGGGGAGGGTGGTTGTTTGTCTTTCAGGGGGTGCTACAAAGGGTTGTTTCAATACTAACGGCCTTAATTTGTAAAGCGATAATTGCTCCGGGTGTGTGTGGGGGGGATTTCCCAGCCCTTTACAGAGAGGTGCGTGTGCGGGAATTGGCAATGAGCGATTCCGATATGAAAATAACTAGATTAAATTATTCGCAGAACCATCTTCAGCTCGTTCTTTACCTACTCATGAACTGCCCTTGTCGTGCAGCAGTAATAGCAATAAATTACCTAAGCTCGCTGAGCCCTCTATGTGTTAATGTAGCAAGAAATATAAAAATTGATATGGGTTTTGTACAGCTAATAAAACCCCGTATCTGTATTATTCCCTCTGTGAGCCCTGACAAGCAGAGCACATGGGAGGTAAGCCATCTGGAATAGTATGTAAAAAGCCTGTGGGACACCCTACCTCTGTGCAAATCGTTGCTATTTTTAACAGTTGCTAATGACTGAATGAATGACTATCAGAGAGATTTGCAAGGCAAAATTAAAAATGCTGCAAATCCAGACTTCACGCTTCGTTCTGGTTACCACGGGACAGTCGGGGACTCTAAGAAATCGGGTGGGTGCTGAGCCAGGCTGTGCCCTGCACTTCCCTCACAAGTTCATGGCTGATTTTAAGATCCTGTAGGTTTTTTTACTACTAAGAAATGACAACTCGTATTAATTTCCCTCCTGCTCTGCAGCGAGTTACGGGCTCCTGCACCGGTGTGAGGGACGGGAGCGCTGGGTCTGGGCAGCATTTCCACAGGCTCCAAACTGACTGAGCTCTAATTCATGACTATAGATGCTCCAAATTTCCCCGAACTACTAACTTGTAAATATAGAGAGAGTGGGCACAATTTGTTTATCATTTTATACAAACAAACGTGATTTATTGCTTCAGTATTCCTTGAGTGAATCCCATTTGGCTATAGTGGGACAAAAATATTGCAAGTAATTCAAGGGGTCGTGGCTTTTTGTGTTCTTCTTTGGACAGTCTACAGTCTGATCTGTCCCAAAAGCTGTGTTCTATTTCTGGCATTGCAATTCCCTAATTTGGTTCATGCTCATCCTGTTCCCTTCCCAGACTGTAGGTGAGTCAATGAAATAACCAGGTAACTAGTTTGAATCCCACGCAGATCAGCAGTAGCAGAAAGCTCTTATCTCACTGTTCATTATTAGCCTGGCTCCCTAAGGAAATGAGGTTTATGCAGTCGTGTTGTGTGTCTGTCTCCTTCAGTCACCTCTGGATCTCTGGGCTGTTTTAGACACATTTGGCAGAACAATAAAGTTTTAAAGATTTGAAGCTCCTTCAGGTTTTATGTAAATACTGTGGCTGGTTAACCCAGACAGTTTCAAAAATGGATTTGACATCTCCAGCAGTGGCAAAAAATTCCTAGAATTATTTTAGGTGTTGCAAATGAGAAAGCTTAGGGATAGATAGAATTATAGAATTCCTCCTGCTGTTTTCCTACTAATGGAAGTTAAAAGCAAAGGTTCAGCAACAGGATGAAAATGAGGAAAGAAAATTGTTTTACTTTCTTTTTCTAGTAACTTTTTTTTTTTTTTTTACAAGTGGCTTTTGGTTCTAAGAGTCATCAAATCAAATTCCTTTTTCCAGCAAAGCCAGACATTTTTGTGATGTGGTGGAAACTTGCCAGCTTCTAGTGTCTTGCTGTAGGATAAAAGGGCTTTCAGGCAAAAGGCCTGATTCTGTAATTGAATCTCCTTGGGAAGAGCTCCAGGGAATTGTTGCTGTGATTGGTGAGGCTTTGCATGGAAACAGAGATCTGGGCAGATCTGATTGCCACCTCTTCACCCAGACTCCTTATCCTCTTCTGATTTGCATGTGAAATCAGGCAGTGCTTCCACATTTCTGGCTGTTGATTTATGATTATTTCCAAATTGCGCCAGCTGAGTGAGCACTGTGATCTGGGAGACTTGTTTAATGCTGACTCCTCGTTGCCACTTAATTGAAATGTTTTTTATGTTGATGTTCCTCTGTGATACAGAGCAAGGAGACCACCAGCTGCACCATAAATCAATCAATTTCTAAGCAAAGGCTGCCAACCTGCCTTTGAAGAATATTTAACCAAGAAATAAGTTTTTCAAATTGTTGGGTGCAATAGGAACATAAGACTGTAATGCTTGCAGAAAAATGCTAGCTCAGCACCTCTGAGGTTCACTGTATGACCCCAGGGAAGGTGAGACTCCTGTGTCTTAGGGCAGAAGAGATATTGGAAGCGTAACCTCTCTGTCTGAAAATGAAACTTAGGCCTGGACTTAGTGGACTTAGCCCCTGGCGCTGCTGGGAGGGTGCTAGGCCTGGACTTAGTGGACTTAGCCCCTGGAGCTGCTGGGAGGGTGCTGCTGCTGCAGGTGCTTTGTCAGGATGGGCTGTGTGATAAGAGGAGCTGCACTGAAACGTTCTGATTTAACACAGGCCACCCAGCGGTCACCAGGTAGTGATTTTTAAAATTAACTAACCAGAGTTGGATTCAAACCAGTGAACATCCTAATAGTAAAAGGCACGAGAATGTCTTATCAGTAAATTAAAGGGAAAAAAAAAGAGGTCTGGAAGAGATTCCTACCTAGAGGCACAAGAATTGTCCTGGAAATCCTACTTTTCCTTACAGAGATTAAAGGTGCCACTGTGTTGTATCATATCAAATTACTGTTACCTATTTTGGCACCCTTTTTGGCCACTTTAGCCTGGGAAAACAATGCTTCTCCACTAACCTTGTTTCTTTCCTACTTAAAAATGCTTATAACTTTAGAGAGAACCTCCTTTCCCACCTGTTTGTCATTAATGACCTCTCTGATTCCTGTGGTGTCCCACATGCCTGTATGGAAGGTGGATTTCCCACCCAGAGCAGGTGCAGAGGGAAAAGGGATAAAGCCATGATCCCCTCAATGCTCCGTCCCCTGCTAAGGTTGTGTGCTGGGGGTCAAAGGAGGGAGGTGGTTGGTGGGACCCAGGTGAATCACCACCAAACCCTGCCCAGCTGAGGGCACAGGTCAGTTGATGAAGCTGAAGGTTCTTAGGGCAGCACAGAGACCTCTGAATCTCCTCCTGCAGCCTCACACCCTTTTGTGTAGACTTTGCACCACCAGCGAGGAGCAGCTGTCCGTGCCGAGGTCAGGATTTGCTCCTTTAACAGCTGCTTTTTTAGTATGTGATTGAAAATCATAGAAAGCAGCAAAGAAAGGTATTTTTTTCTCGCTCTCCTTTTCTCTCCCTTCCTTCTTGCTGAGCTGTTCTGGTCTGAAAGGATTAACCCCAGATGTGTGGGTGTGCTGACCTAGCCCTCTGCTGTGGATGGTAATTAGCATGGTCCCCATATTGCCCTGTTTGCTCTGAAGGAAAAGAGGGCTCTTGGGGAGTACATGTATCCACCCACACATCCCTGGTAAACTCCGGAGCCGTAAGCAAAGTTCCATCAAATGTGACAGAGGAGCAGAATCCTTAAACCTGTTCCTTCGATTTTCACAAGAGTTAGTAGAAAGAGACCCGCTGGGAAGGGGTGAGGTGGGAGTTCCCCTTCTCTCAGCAGAGCTGGAGGTCAGGGCTGTGTTTGTGGTGCTACTCATGGAGTGGCTCATGGAAACAAAGCCAGCTCAGCATCAGCTCTGCCTCCTCGCTTCAGACAAGCCACCCAGAGTAACCTCTCCTTCTCGTGTGCCCAAGCTGGACTTTTCCCAGAACCCTAAAGGTGAGAAACTTTATAATCCACTCTTGGCATGAAGCACCAGGTCACTCTGTAAAGCCTTTGATGGCTGTTACACCTGGGGTAACCGGACAACTGTCCTGCACAGAGCTTAGATGAAAGTGTGGGCATTGCTAATTGTCCTCCTGTCTCTTGCAGGAGAAGGTAGCCAGCATCTATGAATCGCCTGGCTTCTTCCTAGAGTTGGATCCAATTCCAGGAGCCCTCGAAGCCATGCAGGAGATGATCCGCATGCAGAAGTAAGGACACTTTGCTCCCTGCAGCCCTTTGCCATTAACTTACGCCCTTTCCCCTGGCTGCTAACGAGGGCTGTTTCTTTTCAGCACTGAAGTCTTTATTTGCACAAGTCCTCTCAGGAAATATGAGCACTGCATCGTGGAAAAGGTGAGAGAGAATTTATTCTACTGGTTTTAATGCTGCTTTAGCTATTTCATAGCACCCAGGTCAGTGTCATTCATTCATAAAGACAGTAGTGTCCCTGCCAGCCCTCTGTCTGAGGGGCAGCTGCCTGGGCACACGAGAATGTGTGGGTATCTCAGGATGGGGAATCTTGGAATGCCCTGTGATGCCAGCCTTATTGCGGGCACGTGATCCCTGTCCTCTTGGAGCTGGAGCCTGTGACACCTGGGCTCCAGCAAAGGGACCGTTGCAGCATGGCCCAGGGGGATGGGATATTCCCAGGGGATTCCATGCCAGAGGCTCCTCAACTGACAAACCCTTGCTCTGTCTAAATCCGGAGCCTGAGCTCTTCAGCTCTCCCGAGAGAAGCCAATCCCGAGCTAAGAGGAGGCTGTAGTGCTGGGATTAGCCCTGTTTGCCACTGGCATGAGAATGGAGAGGGGAAGCTCAGTCCCTGGAATGACTTAGATGGGCACAATCCCTGTGCTCGGGGCAAGCGGCCAGCGCTGCTCGCAAACTCAGCTGTGATTAGGGATGGCAAACGCCGTGCTGGCTGAAGGCTGCTACAGGTACAGGTTAAATCAGCGTCCTGGGCCACAGCCAGTCTCCGTGGTGGGGATTCGCAGACACAGATGTGGGTTTATGGGTGGAAAAAAGATTGCTGAGCTGGGGCTGAGCTGACGTGAGCAATGTGCAAACTGAAAGTGCAGCAGGATTTTCTCCCGTCTTATTTCTTGTCTCTGCAGTATAAGTGGGTAGAAAAACATTTGGGACCCGAGTTTGTGGACCGGATTATTCTAACCCGAGATAAGACCGTCGTATCCGCCGACTTGCTGTTTGATGACAAGGACACCATTAGAGGTTTGAAAAGCGTTTGCGTTGCTTTCTGTTAGCTGGGGAGGAAGACCCCCAGCTGGCTTCAGTTTTCCTCCCTTGCCCTCCTCAGGCGCAGAGCAGAACCCGAGCTGGGAGCACATCCTCGTCACCTGCTACCACAACAGCCGCTTCCAGCTGCAGCCACCGCGCCGCCGGCTGCTCTCCTGGGCGGACGACTGGAAGGGCATTTTGGAAAGCAAGCGCAGGCAGCGATGAAAACAGGGATGTCATGCTCTTCCTGCTGCCAGGGAACAACCTGCTGCCAGGGAAATGCTCTGCATTCAGTTAGCTCATCTCTGCAGAGTTGTTTTGGATGTTTGCTGTTGGTGAAGAGAAACTATAAAATACAAGAAGTTGGGGGTTAGGTTTTTGTGCGTGTGTGTGTGAGCTTTTAACCTCACTTCTATTTGTTTTGGGCTGAGTCGGGGCACAGAGGATTAAAAAAAAGAGGAAGAAGTAAAGTTCTGAAACTTGAGTAGACACTGCCTGGGTGTCTGTCCGGACCGCTGTGCTCAACAGCCAGACTTTTAAATTTTATGTATTTACCCACCCTGGCTTTTGGGTTGCCTTTTGCATCATTGGCTGATCATGAAACGAGACCAAGCTGGCTTCAATTTCTGGCCCACGTGTATGAGGAAGGGTGGGCGAAGGCTGGGCTGCAATGTTTAGAATGGGCTGCTGTAGATAAATGTTTACAAGCTTATCCAAAAACTGTTTACACAGCATTCAAGTTAATGTTTTATTAGAAGATTTTACAAGACAGCTGTTCTCACCAGCCAGACTGCCCCTTTTTTTTTGAATCTTCACCTTTCTCACCAGTGTTATGAAAAGAAAAAAACAACTTTCCACTTCCTGATTTATAGGATAGCTACAGCCTGCCCTGTGTAGCCATTTACTAGCCGGGTGCCTATGCCATGATAGGATGACATATTCAGTGTCAAAGGGATGCAGCAAGATTGCAAACTGCCAGGGCAAGGAAATGCCTTTCTTCTGGAGGAGGAATAAAGTTTATGATGTCACGTTTCAAAGTCATATGAGTTGACGTTGAAGAGAAGAGCTGCAGCAAAACCATCCAGCAACTGGAGGGGATATAACCTGCCCAATAACCCAAGCAGAAAATACCCCTAACTGCTGGGAAGGATTATCTGTGCAAGCTGGATGCTGGGCTGCACTTGGCAACCTGCTCTCCAACAGCCATGAGCTGTTTTATTTGAAATATTTGCTTGCAGTCTTAGCTGTGTGCTTGGCCTGACTGACATGATAGTGCTCTACCATCCTCTTTATTAACTAAAATCCAGTGCTGGTGTCACTGGTTCCCCTCTTTAATGTTGTTCTCAACAGACTCTTGACCTGCTGAGCAGAAAGTGGAGGGCTGGGAAAAGAGAGGGAGTTGTCCCTCTCCACAGCTCCGTGCTGCTCCGACAGCTTCAGTCCTTGGGGAGAGGAATCCCCACCGCTGTGTGTTTGCTGAGATTCCTGGCCTCTTCCACTTGCGGCGGAGTGCAGTAATCCTCCAGGAAGACAGTTGCCAGATTGCTTAACCTCCTGTTGGCCGAGAGGGAGAAGCGAAGCATGCACTCCACTACCGGGAGAGCCGTGGTCTGCTGGCGCGACTGCGGCGTTGTCAGGTACATCAGCGTCGTGACCGCCGACATGACCGTCTCCTCGTTGGAGCTGGAGAGGCAGTTGATTACAGGCTCTACCCCATTTGCCTCCAAGATGTAGTCTTTGTTAGCTTTATCCAGGCACAGATTACAAAGACCGCCTGAAACAGCCAAAGAAAATGTCTGACACCTGCAAGACAAACTCTTCTCTCCACACCCTCATCTTTTTCATACTAAGACTCAAATTCACTGCTGACCCTTTTTTCTAACACAGAAATAAGCATCCAGATTTTCTGTGAGATTTGGATGGAAAATTCTTAATGGCTTCCTGGGCAATGTTCTCTTGATTCTTTCCAGAGATTTTCCATCAGAACATCCTCTCCTGCATGTCATTAGAGGGCACTGTTACTGCTGGACACAACCTCTTCCACAGGATGAAGAATTCCAGCATCACTTAACCCTAGCAGAGGCTACAAGCCAGCAGTTCACTGCAGATGTTTTAGAGAACTGAGATAACAGCATGAGCCAAGAGGTACAGAACATGTTTACTCGAAATCTCAAGGTGCAGCCATACCCTTGGCATAGATCTGCCACAAACCTTAAAAATCAAATATACTTATTGTCATCTTACGGAATCACTCACAACTAGAATCTGACCCCTTTGCTTATGTTCTAGGCCATGAGGAATCAACATAAGGCAGTTCCTCGGAGGACTTATTAAAACATTTCAAGTAAGATTTCTAAAAGACTGGTTGTCAATAGCAAAATGGTAAAGTTGGACATGTACATTATACGTGGCAAAACTGATGTAATAATGACTGTTTCTCTGTAGGAGAGATTTCATTAAGAAGTCATTCAGCTAATGTTTACTTACAGTCAGGGGAAAAAAACCAACAATTCCTTTCCAGAAAGCATGTTCTTTAAGCATAGTAGCTCTATTAGGATGAAGGGGAGATGCCTCCCTCCTACCTCTCTGCCCGTTCCACTCGTTCTCCACTAAACCAGGTCTTACCAGGACAGCCTGAGGCTGCTCCTGCAGCACAACCATCTGCCTTTCAGAGGGGAATTAACCACCAAACTGAAGCACCAGGCCCAGCATCCTGTCAGCCCCGGTTCAGGTGTAGCCCTTACCAATTGCAAACTCCACAAGGGTCTCGCTGTCTTCAGTGAGCGTATCAAGGAAGAGATCCAGGACCTGAAGCTGCCGGAGGTACTCATAGTTTTTGGGATCGTAGGCGAAGTTGGCCAGGTTTGCCAGCACCTGCTCCTTGGCCTCTGCAATGGAGATGCATCAGGTGTGTGAGGAAACACTCTCAGCACAAAGAATATAAGCAAGCAGCTGTGCCGGGGGTTACCTGGGCTATCTGTCACCTGGAACTCGGTGACCAGGGCCTGCAGGTACTCCAGCCGCCCAAGCTCCATCCTGGGCCCAGCAGCCATGCCATGCCCCAAGCTCAGCCGCTAACCGCCCGGCGCCTGTGAGACACCGACAGCTCTGCCCTTTCTTCCCCCGGACACCCCCCGGGCGGGCTAGCGCTCGTTCACGGCCACGCCAAATTCGGTCCGGGTGAGCCGAGGCGGCCGTGAGGCGGCCGGCGCCTGGCGGCCGCCATTTTGTGGGCGGAGCGCGTCAACCCGCCATTTTGTGGGCGTGGCGGCCGGTGCTCGCCTCAGGCAGGGATGAGGGTGATGGCGGCGGCTCCTCCTCCACGGCAGGCGGTTCCTGGTGTCGGGGTCGGTTGCTGTGAGGCGGCCACAGGGTGGAAGGCTGTCGGCGGCCAAGATGGGGTCCCCGGGGGGCTGTGAGGCAGCAGGCAGGCGCCTAGCGGGGTGTTTCCTTCCCCCGTGGGCTGTGTAACCTGTTAATAAATTGTAAATAAACGAGCATGCATCGTGGTGTGCGCTGTATGGCAAAACTGATGTTTAAATGCTTTGCTCTGGAAAGGAGCAAACCTTACCTCACTCACTAGTTAGCTAATCAAAATTTTTTCACAGGTATATATTTTTTTTTCCTGCTCAACTTTAATACCATCTGCCCTTCCAGGTTCCCCAGAGCTAGTGGTGGATGTGGAGCTGCTGCCCAGGCCAGGACACTGCTGACGGGCTCCTGGGCCCAGGGGGGAACCAGTTCTGGATTGAGCTGCTGGCTGGGTCTCTGTGTCTCTCCGGGTGGTGGGTGTTCACTGTGGTAAAATACAGGACACACGGATGGTAAAGCAATGGCTGGGGTGGTCGGGAGGGCAAAGATAGGGAGAGGTGCTGGAGGGAATAAAGTTTCGTTAGTTTCAGTTTTAATATGGTATTGCATCCCATGGGCTAAAGAAGAACAGTGGAAAGAGGTGGGGTTTTTTCTGCCTTCTATGAAATGGTGAAAGGATTAGAAGCTGAGGGGAAAGGTAAAAAGAGGGCACAATGCGTGCACAGTGAAATACATTACCTGGAGAAAGAAAAGTGAAGTGAAGCCAAGGAGGAGTGAACTAAACCAGCAGCAGGTAATTCTACCCTGGTTGTACAATGCCCTGGTCTAAGCACAAAGCAGAGCAATTACATGGTTCTGAACTAGTGAAGTTCTGATGATACCACTGTGATTATAAGCACTGTAAGTGGATGCAGTTGTGGTTCATGTCACATAAATATATAAGGTAAAGGTATATAAACTTCATAAACCAGGGGGGTGAGCTCTGCAGAAATTTGTGTTGCTTTTAATTGAAGCAATTAAATGCATGGAGGTTCTTCTGTAGATAAGGTAGGAAACAGGCTGTGAGCAGATCCTGTCTTTTGTATTATCTCAAATGCGGTTCATTTTCATATAAAGCAAATTTAGCATAGACTGATCTGCCAAATATGTGGCATCAGTGACAAGGGTGTTGGGCTGATAATCTACCACTCAGCTGGGTGTAGTGAAATATCTACCCATAACCACATTAAATAGGATGAGCAAGAAGCTACACTGAATGCAGTAGTGCTAGATCTTTTAAAATTGCAGTGGTGTGGGAAGACAGAGAACGTGACAGTGTTTATTTCTACCTGGTATAAAAGTTTTAAGCCAGACCTGTGCTAGCCTTCAACTCTTACCACAATTATCAGCTTAAATTGGTGCATCTGTGTGTGCATATATCTATATATGCCTGTATATAAATGAAAATGATCAGCAAAGGTGCTACAGGCTACTTCTATATTAGAATGTTTTGCTAGTGTATTAACACATCTCTTGTAATGTATACCTTTGTAAGTGGTAAGTGTTGACATACTTTAAAGCCACATCTGTCATTACACAGAAAGTGAATGACTAATGTGAGAAAGAGAAAGCAAACACAGAGGAACTAGTCAATACAAAGAAAAGTGATTAAGGATATTGGGACTGACTAATAAGAGGTGAAAAACAGTATGTAAAGAGGAAAAATGCGTTGACTTCTGTTCATAAGTAGTACATCTGTGGTCAGTCAGTGTAATTTTGCAAGCACAGGAGCAGCAGGAACTTTGTCCCCTGGGGTGGTTTCACAGACAGTGGTGTTCAGGAAAGGCTGGTGTGTCTGTGCTGGCTGAGTTTCAGGTGATGCATTCTCTAGGTCACGCTATTTGGTGCGTGGCAAGAAGTAACCAGGAGGAGAGGAGCTTGTCGTGCTGGGAACTGCGAGCCATGCTTCTTCTAGCCTTTGTCTTGCGTTGAGGTTAATCAAAGCTGGTTAAGAGCTGTGAGAAACATTTTCCGTTTAATTTGCTGTGCTGGAGCTGCCTCCTGGAGGAGAGTTTGATAACATCCCCTGGTTTTGTAGTCCTCAAGAGATTTTCTGCAGGAGTTGCAGACCATGTTAGTACTGCTTACACGACCTGCTTCATTACCAGCTGTGTGCTCGTTGTCTTTGTGCTGACTTACTGCTGGGAGTTTGTCCTGATCATCCAGAAAGATCACTTGGCAGTGGGCAGAGTTGGCTGGGGTACCGAAGCTTCTTGCTCAGGCTGTTTACTCACCCAGTGTCGGCTATATTGTTTAATTGTCTGAACGCTCCAAGCATTTGCTGTTTGCTAGAGTAGTTAGCACAAAACAGGCTAGTACAGCTGGGGTATTCACAGCTTCAGAGGCTGGTTGAGGGACTAGTGACATGGATAGCACACCAAACTTAGGATTCAGTGAATTTTTATCTCTTGCACTTACTAGCCAGGTCTGGCTACAGCACGCCAAGCTCCTCATTTAAGTGATTTTACATTTCTGAGGTGTTTTAGAGTGTGTAAGTTTACCGTGACCTTTCTTTGTGTTTTTATGAAACTTTTCCAATAATTACATTGGCAGAGTATCTAAGGCTTTTAAAGATCATGATCTTGCAATATTTCAATATGAACTTCCTGGTGAATGTTTCATTGCAAGTAAGGAAAGGTGCTTGTTGCAAAAATGCTTACCTTGCAAGGTTAATGATACTTTAAATGATAAAAGGAGCAGGAGGGGGTAAGACAGGACCAGGTGAGGGAGGAACATTTATTTTTGGTCAGCTTTTGCTCTGCTGGTTCTCAGAGGTTTGTAATCTGGCGGAGGTATTAGTGTTTGTGCATAATTAAAGCCAGGGTTATTTTGCTGTCTGTAGGTGTTAAAAAAAAACCTGCTTCGGGGGTGGTGGTAATGAGCTGTGGTTGCCTTGCATAATGGGACAACCTTAAACTAATGAAAGGAACTTTTATTGCTTTATTTTTCTTCTGGGCCTCAAGAGTCCTAAGGACTGACTGTTACTGTTCTTGTACTTGAGATCTCGGGGCAAATATTTATTATACTGTAGCATAGTCAGTATGCATGGTCCCTTCAATTACACTTTACAAAGCTCCGGCTCAAGGCAGCTTGGTGTTCGGGTTGAAAAGAGAGGTAGGAGAGGAGAGAGTAGTTTTCTCTATTATGGGAGCTCAGACATCTTATTTACCTGTGAAAACACAGCCTAAAACATTCCTGTTCTCTCCAAGATTTGTTTCCAACCCGTTCTGAAGGGTCGGTGGAAAGGAACCAGGGGAGACAACCTTGTTTTCAGGCAGCTTAAATTCTGTGAGGCTGTTAGAAAGCTTTTTTGTCAGCAAGTTGAGGAAGACGAAAATAATGGATTTGTGAATTCATTGTTTTTCTTCCCAGAAAAATCTCTCTGGCTCTGCAAATAAGTCCTAGTGAAGCCTGATGTTGAGTCTGGGAGTATCAAATAGCAATTCCATAAAACACTTTCCTAACTTTCCATCCTAAATTACCTTGCACTGCTGTGCCCAAATAAGAAATAGTCAAAACTGAGATTTCTTTGCCGTAGTGTAGGAGGAGCTGATCTCTGTGTGTCAGCTTCGGTTCCTGGGTACCTCCTCCCTCCCTGTATCTTGCAGGCGTGCATTAGACTATACATTTGCTTGCTCATGAGCCAGCTAGACTGAATCATTGTATGTACAGCAGTTGGCTCCATAAAGGAGATATATTCAATTGCTCCTTCAACTAACCTTTGTTTTCCTGTGATAAATTGTGATGGGTTGTAGCTTACACCATATCTTGCCTGTTTTGCCCAGGATATTTGTAGCAGCGTGAAGATTTGGGACGATATGACCTCATGTTTCTGGAAGAAAAGGGAATGTAGAAGGGTGAACAGAATTTAGAATTTAAGAATTACACAAAGAAAAAATGGCAATCTGTTCAGCTGCTTGGCTGTTTTATTTGCAATAGCTAGAAGAGGTTTAGGACTTGTTCCCTTTTCATTGGTGTGTTAGAGAGGGAGAAAGCCCCATTTTTTCCCCAGGAACATAGAGCAGTCATTGTTTTGGTAAGCTGAGGAGCACCGTCCCTGTTTACTTTGTAGTTATGGACCATGTAAGCATTACACAAGTTAATAAACACGTGTGATGAGAGATTAGGTATGTATGTTTCCCACTAGTCATCTCATTTAAGTATATGTTTGATCAGGAAATGCAAAGCCTGCTGGTTCAGTAATCCTAGAGCAGTACAGAAATACAGATACTACTGAGTGGTGGGAGCAGGAGGCCTTCTGAAAGACTGATCCTCTTCCACTGTACAAGCCAGCTGTGAAGCCATTGTAGTCTCTGAAGACCTTGGAGTCAGTTTTCCAGTGGTTTCATCCAGTGTGGGTTTTTTGGTTTGTTTATTTTGAGCTGGGGAGCACAGAGCTCTAATGGAAACTGTGGTTTTGTAGCTAGGAATCTGATATAACACGTCTCAATATAAGCACTGCCATTGAGTTGAAAGCTGGTGCTTCTTCCATTTCACTCCTCCTTGATGCTTCTGTCTTTCGGATGATTCTAATGTGTTGAATAATCTTCCTCTCCAGTGCTCTATGAGTATTTGCTTCTGTCAGATCAGGAATGATACAGAATATAAACAGGTTGCAGCTGGAGCTGATGCTGAGGGAAGCTGGAGGCTGATGTGGCTCTCAGCTTAGTCCTTACAAGTGTGACTCCCAGGAGTGTAGCCAGAAAAGCCACTTACAGTCAAGGCTTCATGGATATGAAGGTCAGTAACACTGACTTTTCTCAGTATATTTTCCCCACAGATTTATTTGTAAGTTATGCTTGTGCAAAATTCTCTCTGATGAGAATGCTGGTGTAATGAAGTCTGAGAGTCTAAGACTAAAGAGCTAAATTCATTTACACAAGGGGGAACTACAGTGGCTTTGAATTTATCCCTATATAACGATGTATACACTTATTCTCAGGTCTAGTAGCAACTTCCCTTCTCCTTTCTCTCCTCTTCCCCTCCCTCCCCCCCAAAATGGGTGCCAGTTAATGCCGGAAAGAAGTATGTTTACACAAGCCATGAATCCTGTTTTGTGATCTATCAAGAAGCACTTGAGATACCGCTAGTTATACAAAGGAGGCACTGTAAGGTTTAGATATTTTTTCTTTTTTGATGCTCTGGAGTTGAGCCTTTGATGCTTTGAAAATGGCCTTGGCGTGAAGAACTCATATATATACACCTCATAGGAGAAAATATTTTATCCTACTAGAGACTTGGCTGAGTTCTGCAACCCATGCAGCAGCCTCCGTATAGTGTTTAAACATGTGGAAAATAATAACACACTTCCCGTGGAAAGTGTATGTCTTGCCACCCCTTACATGGGAAGCAACCAGGAAATTTCGTATAAGTCCGCACCAAAATTGCACGTTCAGACGGAGCAATAATACTTCTTTGTGAAAGAACTACCGTTGTACATAGCCATTAATATGTATTGTCCAGTGCTGCCAACTGAAATGTGTATGTGACATTCCAGTGACTTCTTAAAGGCACTGACTTCAACCAATGGAACTGACACAGCTTTTTGTCTCTGGGTGCTGGTTACCATGGCTGTTATCCCACGGTTTGCTTTAGGAAAGCACAGTTCTCTTTGTCCTTCGGCTCTTTGGCTGGCGCTGGGTTCTGGGCTCAGCCTGTGGTCTGGATCGCTCACGTGGAGTCTGACACGGCCCCGTGGAGTGGAAGTGCAGGGCAGAAGGATGATGACAGTTGTGGAAAGCAGATGCTTGTTTTTTCATCTGCCATCAGTGCTTGCCCTTGCATAGCTTTGTACAGGCCACGTACTTGTGTTCCTCTTTTTTTTTTTTTTCTTCTTTTCATACGCTTGTGACATACATGACTGCTGGAGGGGATTGACTCTCAGACTGTGGTTCAGTTGGCACTTCATTGTATTGATATTTGGAGGGATTATCCAAAGGTACTTTTGAAGCCTCTTTCAATTTGTTTTTTTTTTCCAGAGCACAGAAGCTGAGCCCCATGAATAGCGCAGCTGATATCAGGAAGAAACTGGAGTTGTAGAAGACATAGTGGAAATCACTAGTTATGTCCACCAGGAGACCTGAAATAGAAGCCATAGCTTAGTAGAAGAGAAGAAGCATACTTACGGCAACTGGGTGACATTTACATAAATGTTAAGCCTAAATCAGTGAGCAAACTGCCATTTACAAAAGATAAGCATTCACAGATGAGTTAAGTTCTCTTCTCTAGATTCTAAGAGTTGTTTGGGTTTCTTTGTAGTCACCGCCCAGGTGATGTTTCTGCTCCTGTATGAAGTATTTCTCAATACACAGAAAAGTCAGGAAAGAAAGGAATTCGTAACTTTTCCCCATCCTGCTGATTCATTTTGTTTGCTCAGCAGAGGACCCCTGTGCCAGATTTTGTAATGAATGACTGTTACATCCCAGGTCAGAAAATAGAACAAATAAATAGAGAAATTTCTCAAAAATTGACGTTAGGGTCTCTAAACTGAAAACTTACCTCTAATAGTGTGTAATAAGGGAGAGGAAAATTCACAGCATAGCAAGCATCATGACTAGCATTCAGTGTAAAACATTTAGAAGCATGTTATATCAGAAGAGTAATTTAACGCTCATGTTAGAGATGGAAAGGCAATACTCAGATCAAATATATGACACCTTCTCTATAGCATGCTTATTTATATGGAAATACTGGGATTATGTTTGCTTGTATTCTTCAGTAAGGACTGGTGATGTTTCTTTTCATAGTGCTCTTTTCTTAAGCAGATTTTAGGACTACAAATAGAAATGGAGCTGCTTTTACTGTACTTTGTTTTCCCATCTGCACTCGTATCCGAGATGTCCAAGAAAAGACCTTTTTTTCCCTTTGAGACAAGTGACTGGCACACTAATGCCAGGGAATACAATGAAATATGTTGCATGTTATCATCCTATTGTTAGACCAGACATTATTTTCTTGCTGAATGGCACACAATTCATTGTCTGGAGAACTAAAGCTTGAATTAAGGATTCATGCTCAGGTTCACATGTCTTGCTTGTTAGTCTTTTGAATTTGCTGCCGTACTGCAGGAGCAGGTGTGTCCTAGACAGGCCACTTAGTGGCATTTGGAGTAAGCTCTGAAATCTGTGAATAATTTATTGAATTGGGGGACATAACTATCCCCTTTCTTGTCTCCAGAGAAAAATGAATGCACTCTAGAACTCAGAAAGAAGAGTAAAAAGAAGCTTTTACTGTAAGGCTCTTGAATAATGTAGAGTGAGTGATGATTCTGATCACAGTTAATTTGTTTAATAAGATGTTTGGAATTCCTTGAGACCTCATAGATAGAACAATGCAAACTAGGGAAGCAGTGAAGCAGTTCATAGTCAGTGAGATCCTAGCACAGTAGTTCCTCCCTGTGTCTTGCCAGTCACTGAAAAAAAGCCCTCACCAGTCCCATGCCTATCAAAGCTGCCTGCCAAGTGGGTAGTCTTTTCACTGGCTGCTGTCGCTGCAGTGACAGTTGGGCAGCTGCAGAAATGACCCTCCTTCAGCTGTGAGAAGGGGCTGATCGTTCCTTTTCAACTCACTCTTTTTTATTGCTCCCTTTCCATAACTCACCTGCCTGCATGGGTCTGGAAGCTCCCTCATTTCTCTTCTTTACGCTCTGAAACACATGTCACCAGTGTCTAAACAACTGATTTTTCCCCTGCCTGCTTTAATAGCTTCTCTCACCTGTGAGAGGGGGTCCGATGAGGAGTGTGATACTCTCCAGAACGGTGAAGAGCCCTAAAGCACTTGAGAACCTGTCCATCTCCACCACGTCCATCAGCACCTGGAAGGTGAGTGCCCCGACGCCACTCATGGCTATGCTGAGGATGACACAGTAGATGATGAGCACGCTGAACTCGGCCGAAATGACACAAATGAAGTTGCTCAGCCCACAGAGGAGCACGGCCAGGCTGAACAGGTAGATGCGTCTCCCTGTGAAGACTCTGTGTCCTGAGAGCAGCCCTGTCAGAGGGCGTATGAAGATGTTGATGAACCCAATAACGGAGATGAGGAGGGCTGCCCGGCGTTCCTCCACCCCGTTCTGGATGGCATAAGGCACAAGGTAGACGTGGGGTAATGCAAACCCCATCATCATCCAGGTCACTCCAATAGTATAAATCTGGTAACCTTTGTTTTGACAGAAGATGTCAAAAGCCAGGTACTTCTGCAGCATTTGGGAGCATGCGGTCCTTCTGGTTTGCTGCTGGAGCTCAGGGTGGGGGGATGTTCCATTGGACAGTTGTGCCCCTTCTGCTCTTCTCCCTGGCTCCTCTGCAGGCTTGGGTGACTGCGGTGGTGACCCTGATGCGAGCTGAACTGGTCTCATGATGGCTCCACAAACACAACAGTTCAGCAGAATTCCTCCAAAAATAAGAAAAGTGTTTCTCCAACCCATCTCATCCAGCAGATATTGAGAAAGCAGCGGCCACAGCGTGAAACCAAGAGAGACACCAGTGGATGCTATGGCATTGGCCAGCGTTCGCCACCGTACAAAATAGTAGCCCAACACAGTCACTCCTGCCTGGAAGCTGAAGCATGATCCCAGACCTAAAGGTGGGAATAAAAGAGAAAATGACATTGCCTGATCCCTCTGCCTTGTCTTAAAGGGGGAAAAAAGCCCAAATCCGGAGTGTACCCACAGATTACTTCATCTACTACTGAGGCATTTCTGCACCTGCCAGGCTGCACAACACCCAGTGATTAATACTCGGAAACCTCACACAAGGGATGAAGAAGGATGTTGTGTGTAGATTAAACTCCTTGCATTCTTGGGCATACTAAGTATGCTGATCTAAGCTGACGTTTGCCTGGGGCATGCTGCCATTCCTGAAATTGTTATGGAATTGTTCATTAAAAGCTTGGTTTTTATACCACATGCAACAAGCAGTGCTGCTTTCCTGATACTTTCATCAGGGCTCAGGGAGTTACTTGTTTTTCTCTCTGTGCAGTGGACACAGCTTAGCTTGCAGGGATCCAACAGGATTGCTCCCAAAGTAACCTGGCTGAAGAAATTAATTTCTCTGTGTAAGAAAAAAAAAATCAAGAGTTGAATGTCAGTCACATAGGAGAAATATTTGGAAAGGAAAAGTTCCCATCTGTTACTTCTGTTCAAAACCAACACGTTCTTTTGTTAGAAAAAGATATCGCCACATTTCCCCAGATTGGGAGTGGTGAAATACAAGCCCAGGGAACTTGGGAAGGACGTTGTCCCAGCACATTACATTCCAAGATCAAAAAAAATCCTCCCTTCTTCAAAGACAAAAGGCTGAGAAGCTACTAAAAAGAACAGACATCTTTGCTCTCCATTTCATCCTCTGGAGACCTATAGCTTTTTTCCAGAGAGAAGCACTTTCCAGTGAGGTTGGCTGGATGAAGTGTGTGTTAAAAAGGTGTGAAGGGCAAGTCTAGCTGGTGCACGATTGCTGCTGCGCTGTGGGGCTTTGGATTTATCCCATTTCACAGATGAATGGAAAAATGTGAGCACTTAGGCTGGAATCTCACCATTTCCCATCTCTCAAGTCCAGCACAGCAGCTGGGTTTTCCTGCCATCCTTTGGTACTTACCGGTGATGAGGCCAGCTGTTAAGTACAGCTGGCTGATGGACTTGCAGAAGGAGCTGGACACCATGCCCACTCCGCTGAGCAGCCCTCCCAGCATCACAGCAAACCTGCAGCCAAAGCGCTTCACCAAGATGCTGCAGAGGGGCCCTGGAGGCAAAGGACCAAAAGGGGGATGCAGTTAGGGAGGAGGGAAATACAATGTACCTGCTGGACTGCTGCAATTAGCAAATGATTTAGTCTAGAGACCTTGAGAATTGTCAAAGCAGCATAATGGAATAAAAAATACATCCCCTGATCCTCCCAAATGCACAGTCAACTTGTTAACTAAAGGGAAGGTTCCTGTGATCTGCTTGGTTTTTGGTCATTAGGTAGGATTTCTAAGCTTCCTTGTGGTGGATTTTAGTTAAAACTCTTGGAAATGAAATGGAAGAAGGACCTTCAAGTGTAATTCTGTTCTCACATGATAAAAATTCTGGGAATGGTTTGAAAAAGCAGAAGACTTGTATTTTTGTGCCTCTGAGTAAGAGACATTAAGCAGGGTGATAATTCTGTTTACTTATTTCCTTGTGTTTTCCATGTATTCTGCCACAAGATCTAAAATGGCCCTTTTGTGTCCCACTACCTAGGTGAAATTCCTCACAAGAGAAGGCAGATTGACACTGAAATAGATCAAGAATTGGAGAAAAATACATGTCAATGAGAAGGATTATTTGAAAACATCTGGAGAGGGTATATTCATGTCTGCATGGGAATCTGTCTAAGCTTCAGGCAGCAGCATCCAAGCTGCAGCTTGTGCAGTCTTGCAGCTTGTCCTGCAAGTCATCTTCCCCAGGAAAATAATAAGATATTATTGTCAGTACAGCTCTTTGCACATGCCTGTCCTGGCATAGCTGCCAGGGGTGAGTAGGTTTAACCGTGTCCACTTCCAAGAGGACACAAGCCAAGGAGCAGAGCGTGCACATCCCAGTTCCCACTCCCACGCCTCCGGCACAGACAGCGCAGAGATGGGAGCGAGACCTGGGAGCTTCTGATGGGCAGAAACCTGGGTTTTGCTGTGTTTAAACATTGCTGGCAGGCTCTTCTAGGACAGAGCTATGTTATTTCATCAAAAAAAAGCGATAAACAAATAGGTGTGGGGATGTGTGTTTAAGGTCAGTTAATTCTTTGATTTTCTTAGACTTTTGGTGAATTCCATGAAGCTGTGGTAAATTACCAGTTTGTTAATACCATTTAGCATCCTTCATTTTGCAGTAGGAAAAGATTAGTTCATCCCTGCAGACCACCAGTGGGAAATATGCTTCTCTCTGCATGCTCTGGCAGAAGAGGATCTGAAGGTCCAGTTTCTTTTCCCGTTCCTTTGAGGATCCTCAGGGTTTTCCAGGTTTTATTATTTTTTTCCCTCTTCTGAACAGTTAGGGTTATATAAGCCAATGCAAAATGACTGTAAGCTTCAGAATTAGGAGTCAATCAGCATAGGGAAAAATAACCTGTGGCATATTTGTGACCTAAATCAACGTCTGGTTTGAAATAAAATCCACATAGTCAAGCAAACAGTGGAACGTTATTAAAATTAGGACTGCAGCTGTCTGTATTTTGATCTGCTTGGGAGATTTTCACCTCAGACTTCAACCAGCCTTTGAAAAAGTACTCAGCAAAGTGGTGACTGGATTATTTTTCCTCCTGCTGAAGACATTAAGCGTGGTACTGCTGTTTAACCAACCCAAGTAGCCAGAAGTCATAAATTGAACACTCCGAAATAATGAGATTGGCTCTAAAGATCTTTTTCATTATCTGTTCCCGCTAACTTGCTTTCTAGGTTTCAAGTATTATTTCTCGTGTGCCTGGGGCTTTTGTGGTTTCCTTTGCAAAAATAGTTTCCCCAAAAAGTGCTGCGTTTGTATGAGTGCAGAGAGTTATGTGTGCATGAATATCCAGGAGCAGGAACCTGTAAGAGCCTGAGCTCTTGGGTTTCCCCTTTTGGCGACGATCGTAGGGTCCTGACGTCTCTCAAATGATTCTTATAACAAAATAATAATTAATCGCTTTTACCTAAGGAATGCAGCACGGGTAATGAGATATGTTTGGCTTAATAAGTTAAGAGCTATTGTTTGCACTGTGCCCTTCCCTGTTCCCTGCCACAGCTCTGCTGAGCTGAGGTTACCTCTCCTGCACGGGAGCTTCTCACTGCACTGACCACTCTGAAGATGGGTTCCTTTGTCTGTTCCCGTTCCAGTTTACCAATTTTTGCAACAAATATATTTCCCCCCCCCCTTCAGTTCCTCTGAATTAAGAAGAATAAAGGAGAAGAAAAGGGAGAAGCACCTTTAAGAGACATTGGTGACACAGCAGAATGTCTTTTTGGAAAAGGTTTAAGTGCCAAGCTGATGGATGTAACTGGAGAACCTGAATCAAACAGAGCCTGGCCCACCACAAAGGAGGTCAGAAGTTGCAGCAAAAGCCATACGTTCCAACCTGAACTATTCTATGCTTGGCCTGAGAGGCAGTCTTTTATCTATGAGGATTTTTTGTTGTTTTTTTCTTCCTGGTTTATGATTAAGTCCTGCCTTACCCCATTGGGGGACAAGAGCAAGCACTCCTCTGCTCTAACAGCCTTGCAGTAGGAGACATAACTGGCAAGCAGAGTAACAATTCTCTTATAATTCACAGGCTATGGCCTGACAAATTCTGTTAGCGAATATAATTAACATGAGGCTATTCTTTCCTTGTCTAATTTATAACTTTTGGATCTATTTATCGGCTGTCTTTCTGTTAGCTTTTACTGTGGCTCCAGCTTCCTACAAAACCATTATTTCATTATAGAAGATAATTGATACTTTCTTGCAGACTTGTCCTTTCTGGATATGTTGGGACTGAGCTGCTTCTGAGACCATTTTTTCCCAGAGCCAGCAGGTCCCATTTAGCTCCCCACTAACTGCAGCAGGACCACAGGGGATGGAAGGCAGCACAGGGAATGCCCAGCAGTTTCCAAATTCCAGACCCGAAGGACACTGCTCCGTTTCTGCTGACCTCCAGTGATAATTCCTCCCCTTGTTGCTCCCCCTGAGGTCTCTTTCCATCTGTCTTGCAATTCTGCACCCACCTGCTTATGCTAAGGTGCAAACTGTCTCTCCCATATTGGGTGGCTGTCAGCCAAGTCCTGCTCAGGAGAGACTGAACCTGCCACAGCCTTCACATCAGCATGACTCAGGGCTCTGATCTTTTTTTCTTCATACGATAGTGTCACCTTTCACCAGTATTGGAAGGGAGCAGGTATGAACTCAGGGCAGCTCAGATACGTGGGTATCACCGGATACTTTGCTACTTTTACCTGGTGACCTTTGGGTCGTCTATTTAGCAAACAAGCATGGGAGTTGCACGTGGCGGGATCAGCATCATGGACCACTCATTGGAAAGTCTTTGAGCTGCTGAGAATTTGTTTTTCTCTTCTATGCAGAAATATTAATCTGGATGGGAGATCTAGGGACCCTGTCCTCTGCAGCCCCCACATTTTTTGGGGGGGCTGAAACAGTGATTCATTCTGCTATCTGTAAAACCTATCCCTCCTTCCATCCCCCTTCACCCAGAGAGGGTGGACCTGACCCACATTCTGCATTAATCTAGCCCTGCTCATGTCCACCCTGATGCCCACTTGGGTGTCCACTCAATACCACCGCCCAAGGAATTGCTTTTAACACTCTGCCTCAGCTGGCAGCCTGGAGGAGCTTGGCTTTTGGCATCTTTTCAGCCACGAAGAATGCAGTTGTCATGTGGCACGTGGAAGGAGATGTGCTCTTGTGGACAGAAGATAAGTCAAGAAAGCACCCGAACTCCAGCACTACCTGCCAGCTTATTCAAATAGCTGCTGTGGGAAATAGTTAAATTCTTGCTGGTCTGGAGAAGGGATTCACCTTCTCTGACCAAAGGTCTTGGTTGTCTCTTAGAGTGGCAAAATGGAGCTTGGTGTCTGTGGACACTTAGCTTTGGACTGTGTGATCAGTGGCGGGGAGATGCTGTGCACTGCTGACCAGCCACTCTGCTTGGACCTCCACATCCCTTCCACTGTCTGCCTTAAGGAAATATTAGAAGTGCTCTCGTTATGGCCCCTCATCAGCAGCACAACTGCAGGAGGTGGTGGAGGACATTCCCTGCAGCCTCTACTTACCGCCTCCGTGCAGCACGGCCACCATGATGGATGGGAACCACGACGTCTCGCTGTTGCTGGCCTGGAAGTCATGCTGGAGGTCCGTGAAGAAGACACCGATGCAGGAGGGGAAGCCCAGCGTCAGCCCCTGCAGCAGCACTGCGGCGAGCAGGACCATCCATGCCCATCCCCGATCCTGGGGCTTGGCGGCTTCACGTGCTGCTGCTCCTCCTTGGGGCATGATGGCGTCTTCCTCTTCCTAAGCTCGCCTGCTGAGGAAAGAAGTGCAGCTACCATGCGACCCTCAGCCCAGCAGACGGACCTACGGAGACGGGCTGGCGGTGTTCCTGAGGCTCTAAGGCACCTTCCGCAGCTGATAATCTAGAGTTCTTGCTCTGCATTTTCTCCTAGCACCTCCCTTCCTTCTCGCTGCAGGATCCTGGCAACAGATTGCTTGAGAAACAGCTGCCTTCCCCTTTTTATATTTCACAAGGCGGTGACCACAGCCAGGTACAGAACGGGACCACACCTCCTCCGAGGTATGAATTGGCCTTACCTAGTTCCCGCCCTTATTTTCCCTTTCACCTGCTTTCATCATATGGAGTCCCCTTGCTGGCAGTCGCTAAGGTCACTCGGTCCTCGTGCTACGAAGAGAAGAAAAAACTCTGCAAATGCCAAGAAAAAGAAAAACGTATAAAGCTCGCGTGTCGCAGCAGAGCTGGGGTGAACCTTGCAGGAAAACTGCACCTACCTACAAAGTGCTAGTGGTGAGAAAACGTTTTTAAAGCCATTAATTAATTTGATGCAGTGATTGCAGATAGGGTTTTGTTTTACCTCTGTTTAGATCTAGACCTTCCTCTGAGAGATCCCAGTTTTGATTTCTTTGAGACCAGCAGCACGGAACATAGCAATAGCATTCCCCATATGAATAAATATGCATAAAAAAGCCTTTGGCAGCTGGATGAACTCAAAGAAAGTGCCCAAAAGGTCACTGCACACTGCGATATTTATTTAGCACTCAAATAGTGATTTTCCCCTGAAACAATTGCTACGTTTGAGTTTTGCGCGTAGCTTTAAAAGCTAATAATAGTTTGATGTTGCTCATTATTTCAAACGTGAAACAAGGTGGCAGAAAGTTAGTTTCATACCTTAGGCCGGGAACCAGAACCGGTCAAAGGAAGGGTGTTGGGCGCGTGGCTGCGTGCGCGGCGCGGGCGGCTCATCCCCTGGGTGCGCAGCCCCCTCAGCTCATGGCCCACGGTCGGATACTTCTGCTTCAGTAGCGACTAAAAGCTTTCATGAAGTCTTTTGCAATATTAACCTAGGCATCACTTCTGTAAACAGGGCTCTTATGCTGGCTGGCTCGCAGCCAGAACAAAAAAAAAAAAAAAAAAAAGAAAAAAGGGGGGGGCCGGGAGCAGAGAGGGGCCCGTGGGAAGGGGCTCTGAGATGCAAATCACGGTGGTGGTGCTCAGCACACTTTAATCCTTTGTCCACTTTAGCTGGGCGCAGATAATGCAACTAATTCAAGTGCTTGTCTCTCTGGTGTGAATTAGCTGGATGACGGCCTAAAACCTCTCCCCGGCAACAGCAAACCTGAAAAAAAAAAGGCAGAAGCACAGCTCCTCTCTGTTCCCAGCTGCCCTGTCCAACTCTTGAGTTTGTCCAGCAGAAGATTTCTGGCTCTCCTCACATCTCCGTGTGCGCCTGCTCGCTGGGGAGGACTCTCCAGTGGGGTTGCAGACCCCCAATGGCTTTTGTCCACCTTCTGCCCTTGGCTGCAGGACACCCTTTCTCCTGGGCAACCTGACCTGCACAGTCGCTGCAAGGACCCTGGAGATGTGCTGCCAAGTGCCACATGGCCTCCTCGCTGCCTTCTGCCTGCACAAAGGTAAAAGAACAAGTTTGTTCCAGTGCTGGCTCAGCCGGCTGTGCCACACCGAACAACGGCGGTGGCGAAAAACCTTGCTTTAACCCTTCCCAGGGAGCCCAGTTAGGATGGACAGTGCAAACGTGGAGGGTTGGTGTGTGCCTTCATGCTCCTGTGGGCTTGATGTTCTCAGGAAACCTGCTCCTGGTGTCGTGCGGTGAACATGAGGAACCAAGCACACCTGTGAAATGCAGGCAGGTTTTCACACACACGTGACTGTCCTGTCGGACACTCCTGGTCGGGAGTAGGACTGAAGTTCACAGCAAGAGCCACACCTGGGTGCTGACTGCAAACAGTGCTTCTCTTGGGAGCGGATGAACTGGTGCAAAGGTGCTTCCCTCTACCAGCCCGTGCAAGGCCTGGATGGGACAAGGGGCAGCACACTGCTGGTTTTGGTCCTCTTTTACCCTCTGCCAGTTGCTGCCTGCTGTGATGAGTTCATTTTCTCTCGTTCAGGTCTGAATGTTTCTTCTTTTCCCAGTGACCCCCAAGACACCAGTATTCAGGCCACCTTGGATTCCCCTCATAGCTGTCGTTTACGACAGCAGACCAGGAGCTGTGATTCTCCCTGCTTCTTCTGTGCCTCAGTTTCCCTCAGATGTGCTGGGGGTCAGTCAGCTGCTGGAGGGTTGCTGGCTGCTCCCTGCAAAGGCAGGCAGGCCTTTATGCTGAGAAACACAAGGACATTTGTGGAGCTCACCTCCTAGGAAGAGGTTTATGTTTAGCCTGCAAATGATGATGGTATCTGTATATTGTGCTCAGGAAGAGCTTGTAGCTGGTGGGTACCTCAGTGGGGAGAAAAGCAGCCCATTTCTCCTCTCCAGCCCAGCAGCAGAGTCCAGTGGGGAAGTCAGGAGTGTGGCTGGATGGGGGGACACAGAAGCTCTGTCCCCAGCGATGAGGCTGGGAAGGGTGTCCAAAGACTGGATGATCCCTGCAGCTTGGGACCATTGGGATGGAAATGGAGAAGAAAGTTTGTTCCTCATGGTACCTTAGGTCTCTGCACCCTGCTGTATGTTGAAGCAGCATCCTCCTGCCGCCCCAGCTCAGCCCCGGTGTGTGCTGGACGTGTAGTTTATGAATGTGTAGAACAGGCTGCGTGCACAGAAGTGAGATGTTTACTGTAAACCAAACTGCTTTTTGGGGACACTCAGTATCTGTTGGCGGTGGGAAAGCCAAGCACTTCTCTTGGTAAATACCTTTATAAGTGACTTTTCATCCTGAGATGTACCTTTTCATCCTGAGATCTTGGGTTGCTTTGCTGTCCTCTCCCAGGTGGACTATATTATATCCCAGCTGAGTTCTCCAAGGTCACCCAACAAGTTGACAGCACAGAATACAGATCTAGCTCCAGTTAAAGCCTTGGCCCAAGTGGTGCAGCCTGGTCCAAAGCTTCTGTCTGTGGGATGCCACTTGTCAGCAGCCACCCACAGCCCTTAAGGGACAGGCAGATGCCTGGGGCACAGTGGAGGTGGCTGCATGTCCCCTGCTCTGTGCACATCCTTACTGGCACGTTATGGCTCCGGTCCCAAGCTCAGGAGCCTCAGCAGCAGTTTTGGGGCAGACCATGAGCTTGGAAAAAATAAAGTGCAAATGCCTCAGAGCTCGCAAATCACTTTTGAGAAAAACTGGTTGAATTTATTCCAGAGATCCAGATTAGCAAATCGTCTGACATTGAACCTTGCAGAGGAAGTGGAAGTGGTGTTTGCTTCTGGGTTTTGGGTTTTTTTTTAAAAGCAAGGGAAACTAAGCAACATCTCAGCTGTGGGACTGCAGAGCAGTTTGGGGCAGGGAGCTATTTCAGCCCCAGGTTTGGTCCCACTGTCCTGCTCCAGCGGGCTCCTCCCGAGGGCTGTGGGAGCACCCAAATGAAACTCCTGCTCTGATCCTTCCCTTCAACCCAGACAGACCCAGCAGAAACCAAGCTCTCCAAGCACCTGGAAACAGATTCCTGGCCTGAGACTGAGGCAGGGACAGGATCCAAACAGCCCTTGTAAAACCCTGGGGACCAGCTCTGTTCCAGGGATGGAGGCAAAACCCTGGGAACCAGGACTGTTCCAGGGATGGAGGAAGTGCTGGTTTATCATGAGTTTTCCAAGCAGTTCCCAGAGCATTGCTCCCACATCCTCCCTCTGCAAAGGGCATCAGGGTCCTGCCTGCTCTAATAGGTCTTAATTAGCCTGACCAGCCTCATCTGGGCCTCCTCCCACTCCCCCTCCCACCCATTTGTTCCCCAGCTGCATTTAAGCCCCGTTCCTTGCCAATATCAGTCTTTGGTTTGTCTTGCTGCTGTTTTCTGCTTTCCTTTGTTGACTTCGGATCTGCCTGGCTGCTTTGTGCCCATTAATCACCAGTAATGTGAGTGTAACACCAGGTGAGACATCCCACCTTTGGGTCCAGATTTAATGACTGTTTGTCAGTGGTGGGGATAACACTGCTTGGCGTGGAGATGGGAAATGGGGGATGAGGAAGCAGCTGGCACCAGAGCGTGCACTGACAGCTCCCATCAGCTCGCAGGAATCCAGCAAGATGTGGCTTGTCCCTGCTCTTTACCCTGGTGGCAATTCTCTGGCTGGTGGGTGATTGCAGGCTGTTTATGTGCAAGCTGGCCCTTGCCCTCCTGACGGCTGCCATCCTCCCTGGTGGCTCTCTGTGACTTTCCTGGAGCCTGTGCTTTGTGCAGTAGGTGGGCAGGTCGGTGCCAAGAAGGGCAGTTCTCTCTGAGGCAACAGGGATGGCTCTGGAGATGAGTCTGAGATTTACACGTGCTTGTGTAAATTCACACTGGAGGTGGCTTTGGAAGCTGCTCTGGCTCACGCTGGGTGACACCCTGAGCTGCCACGTTGCCCCTGGGAGCGGGCAGAGATGGGGACAGATGCTGACACAGGGCTACCCAAAGAGATGGAGACCTTTGCTAGGAACCCGTGTGGTGTTACTGAGGATGTCTGGAAGCTGCTGGTGTTTTTCTTCCAGCAATTTCCTGCATTTGTGAAGGTGAGGAGGGCGGTGTGTTCCCTGAAAAGCAGGGCTTTTGAAAAAATTGAGTTACCTTGTCACTAGCTGTGTGAAAACTCCAACCAGTAGACAAGGACGTGGCACAGGGCTGTGTAGCTCGTGTGGGTGAGAGTGTAACCCTGCTGCAGCCCATCTCTCCCATGGATTGACATCTGGGGACCCTGAGCAGTGGTGATGATGATTTTTCTATCTAGAAGATCTTATCTTTCAAACTCTTAATTTTGATTCACATTGGCTTTTATTAATGGGGAATAGGGACTTAGTGGGAGAAGGATCAAGAGAAGTATTTCCCTGCT